CAAATGTATCAACTATTATGGGACAGATATATTGTTCTTATGTCCCATAATGATTGTTCCATTTGTGTACGAGATATTTATGCAAATGTATCAACTATTATGGGACAGATATAATAGAAAATATGACTTATGTCCCATAATGATTGTTCCATTTTTACGAGATATTTATGCAAATGTAGATATTTATGGGACGGATATAAATGTATGTCCCAAATATTCCATTTTGTGGACAGCAAATATATTATGGGACAGAAAATATGACTTATGTCCCATAATGATTGTTCCATTTTGTGTACGAGATATTTATGCAAATGTATCAACTATTATGGGACAGATATAATAGAAAATATGACTTATGTCCCATAATGATTGTTTCATTTTGTGTACGAGATATTTATGCAAATGTATCAACTATTATGGGACAGATATAATAGAAAATATGACTTATGTCCCATAATGATTGTTCCATTTTGTGTACGAGATATTTATGCAAATGTATCAACTATTATGGGACAGATATAATAGAAAATATGACTTATGTCCCATAATGATTGTTCCATTTTGTGTACGAGATATTTATGCAAATGTATCAACTATTATGGGACAGATATAATTTATGTCCCATAATGATTGTCCCATTTTGTGTACGAGATGTTTATGCAAATGTATCAACTATTATGGGACAAAGGTAGTACTAGAACATACTTTATATTTACTTTAATTTTCAACTAATAATAGTTTTAACTGATTCATTTTGCTAGTATGTATGTAAATCTCAATGACTACAAATAAATCTCAATAACAATATATAGAATTACTTAGAATATAACTTTGATATTTTTAAATTTTAAAAATTCTATTGAACCAAAGTGTATGGAGTATTAGTTGAAAATAGAAATTATTCAGTCATTAAATATCATGAATTGCTTGTAGAGTTTAAAAAATAATTCATTTTATTTGTTTTATGCATAAATAAATGCCTACACAAGATATTTTTTTCCTATTTTACCCTGTACAAGGCCCAGTGGCCACTTGAAGTAGAAGGTTATGTCAAGAGGTAGTTTAATATACATAGGAGAGGAATTGACTTGAACAGATTTAAGGTTGTAGTGATGAGGGAACAATCCACAGGGCAGTACTTTGCTGAAAGATGTTTGAGTGGAACTTACTTCTCACCGATGGAATACAGAGGGAATGTAGGTGGTTTGCTACTATGGAAGTGGCATGGTGGGTCATAGTTGGCGGAACCAAGGAATATATTTTATCCAAGCACTTTCCGTGGATGTAGCAATAGAGAAGTAAGAGACTCGCCACATCCCGCCTATGAGTGAGTGGTTGGAGTCTGGAAAATAATTCTTCTCCAACAAGGACTTGGAGACACTTTTGAACTCTATATCAAGACTGGAAAGTGAGGTCTAGGCAGCTCCCACTCAAATATGGCAACAGTATTCCATTTTCAACCTGATCTGGCTCTTATAAAGACAGGATAGCATGAGGAGTCAGGTACTTACTGGTGTGGTTCAGGGAGCTGATCATTTTACCTGCATCTTTAGCAATGGATCGTATATAAGAGTTCCACTTGAGGTTGGGTGTTAGTTTAAGGACTAGTATTCTATCAGGGTATGGTACCTCCTCAAGGGGACATACATTCATCATGACTGGCGGTAGTTTAGGGTCTGATCAGTGGTGATGGAATGTAACCAGTTTGGTTTCCAAGGCATTGAATGTAACCAACCAGTTTTTTCCCCACTGGGAAGCTAGTCTTAGATCAGAAGAGAGGTCAATCTCTGATCGTCAAGAGTTTTCGAGGTGCATCTGTATATCGTCATATCATTGGCATAGATGTTTACAAATGATTTGAATATGTTCTTAGGCAGATCATCTATGTAAATCAGAAAAAAGGTTGGCCCAAGAAATGAATCCAGATCCTCAGAAACTGATTATAACCAAAACTGACTCATTTCTCTGAAAAAATGAACATCCTCCTGAATGCACAGCATGTAAGGAGGCATATACCGTAAAACATATTTTAACCAACTGTGGTAACCTTACCCCTATACATCAACGATTTTATGACATGACTAGTGTAGAAAACCTTTTCAAGACAATAAAAGTAGTGACTATCCTAGCCTACTTGAAGGAGGTTGGTCTATACCGAAAGTTATAGCACTAAGTAAGTGAAAGAGACTTAACTGGGGAATGATAGAACCAACAACACAAAGGATTATTTACATGCCATATACTTAATAAGAAAAAATATTTTTGGTGTTAAATATCTGACAGAGTTGATTTGTTATTAAAACAATCAATCAACCATAAGTGTATGAGGTGGTGGAATTGTCAGGGTTTCCACAAACCCCACAGAGCAAATGAACTGTACCTTTTCAGGGCAACTTAGAAAATTCTCAGGGCAAATTATTTTTGTGCCCACCCATGAATTGTAAGCTTTCTTCCTGTATATCTATGTTTATAGCTACAATAAAATGACACTTGCAGTCAGTAGTACTGACAATCTAGTCATTAGTATTCATATTACTAATATATTACTTACACTACAGATAATAAGTTTGGGGAAATTCTGCATTTCTTTTAAAAACACTTTTTAAAAAAAAAGAGATATTTTTGTTTTTTGGGTTTTTTTTTAAAGTAAAAGATAAAATTTTAGCAACTATAGGGTATTTGGTTTTATCTATAATTCTTTCTCTAGACACCTCTTACTAACACAAAGATCAAATTTGGATTCATCTGTTTACAATGCATTTTGCTAAATCTTTCTAAAGAAAATAAATAGCAAATTCCATCTGGCCACACTTGCTCTACATAAACATATACCTTTTTGGAATCAGAATGATTTTGGCCGAAATCAAACTTTAGAACAGAATTGGACTTATATCATGAATCAGAGGTTTTGAAGTTCCATGGAGTGAATTGATGAATTCAAAGTTATTTCTTCAAAATTATCATTGCTGTTTTCTAAGCTGGATCAGTGGTCCCTTTAGTTTTCAGCCAGAGATCCAATTAATCCCCTCTTCAGGAGCTTGCTTAAAAATCCACACAGAGTGCAGGTTTTAAGCTAGTTCTCAGTATTTTGTATTAGAAACATTATATTTTGTTTTCACCATTAAACCCTCAGTAGACATTTTAAGATTACTAAAAGGGCTGAAGATTCGATTCAAGCCAAACGAATTATGAAAAAAGTACAATATCATTCAATTTTTCAAAGACATGCGATACTATCTGGTTTCCACATAACTGGAAAAATAATTGACCTTTCAAAAAGACAATGATCCAAAAATACTCTTCTAAATTATGTCAAAATTTCTTAAAGTCAAAAAAAAGAATAAAATTTTGAAAATTATGACTTGGCTGCCTCAAATTCATGACATCTCTCCCATTCAATTAATATGGAATGAATTTGGATATAAGAGTTTGAAGATAATATCCAAAAAGTGAGAGTGAGCTTTTTCAGTGCTTGAAGAATAATTGGTAAGTCTACCCTCTACTTTTTTTCAAAAACTCCTGGAAAGAATGCCAAGAATTTTTAAAGCAGTAATTAAAAGTCATGTGGTCGTTTTATTGACGAAAATAAGATATGGTGCTGTTGTATGATAATTTTTATTGTTAAGTGCTTATTTTTTGTTGAAATAAAAGCAAATACACTGTAGTCACTGAAGTTTTATCTTTTTTTTTTTAAATCATTTCACCCCAAGCAAGGCAATAAAACCACTAAGATGCAAGGGATTAGTGAAAGAGAATATTAGGAAAAAAACATTATTAAAGAAAGAGAACATTAAATGAGCAAGAATTCAGAAGACAGTAGATAATGATTGATATTGATATTTAAATTTTTGAAGATCGAAGTCAACTGGGAAGCAAGAAGCCAGAAGAGAGTTCCACAAGTGAGAAGTGCAGTAGAAGAAACTGTTAGCATAGAACTTACAGTTACATCTAGCCATTTCAACTATAAAATGATGAGATATTACCACCATTTTTTTAAAATGATGAGATATTACCACCATTTTTTTAAAATTTCATTTTAAGTTGTTTTTTAAAGAAATGCAGGGTAGCCCCAAACTTTTTGTATGTAGTGTGCATTTTTCATTATTTTCATTATTTTTTTTCTTTGTGTGTTTATTGAATTTTGATATTTTTTGTATTAAAATCAATTTTCTTTTTCCTCTAACATCAATACTTAAATCTCACTTATCTCCCTTTGCTATACAACTATTATTTTTTTTCAATTTTTTTTACTACTGGGTTTTGAAAAAAACAGTTAAAATTGTATTTTCTATATTTAATTATTTTTGTTGCTTTTCTTTTGGCGTCTATTATTTATGCATGAGCTGAAGCTTGCTGAATATTGTTTATTGCTTGTTTTTCTTTATTAGAGAATCATTTTCCCAATCTCATATTTGAAATGCATATATTTTCTTTTATTCGGGTAAATGAAACTCATCAGCCTAGAAAGCCAGACCAACTAGGGGAAGGAAAGATATTTTTTTTCTTTTGTTTGGAGATGTCTTACAGCCATATCCGAACATTGAAAAGGCTATGGAATTAAATCCAGACTGAAAATCTGGATTGGAGCATTGACACCTGTCAACACTGATCAACTGTCAACAACTCCTGCAGCTAAGTCATCCCCAAATATAGTGCTCTGTGTTTTTTTAGATGCTGTCAGTATGGCTGAGAAGGGGTGCCAGGTCATCTCGGCAGTACATGGTCTCCATACGTCATCACCCTGGCCTGTGCACTAAGACTATTAACCTCATCTTTGTTGCTATTATCACAATATTTCAGCAACTGTATCCTCCAGCCTTCATCAAGGGTTGTTAATCCAGATAACCTTCAGGGAACTTTAAATCGAATCATTTATTTAATCTACGTTGGGGGGGGGTAAGTTGTTCTCATTCTGTAGAAATAAATAAAGGGTACAGTTCAACTGTGTTTGTTGCATTTACTTCACAGTAATGCACTTGGGGGCTTGTAAGCCACATCACATTGAAACACTGATTACTGTACGATCACCAAAGTTAAGCAACGTTGAGCCTGGTCCGTACCTAGATGGGTCACTGCTTGGGAATATCAGGTGCTGTAAGCTTGGATGTGCAGATGGTGTAATGGATAATGACTTGAAATTGTTAATCGGAGAGCTGAGTTCCAATTCTTGTTGGGTTCGTTATATTCACTTATGTGCAAATACCCTTGGGAAAAGTATGAAACCACCTCTTCTACCCCCAGCTAGTATCCCTAAACTATTACTATCCTCCCCTTACAAAAAAAATTATTAGAACCTAAAAATATTTTCTGGCTTTAAATAACCTGCAAAGGGTTGATAAGATAAAAAAAAACAATCAACTAATGTGCTTGGAGTAAAGAATGAATTCATTTCTTCTCTCTTCACTCCTAACAGCTGTGTGTGAAATAACGGAATAGACTAGTCTCTCTAGAAGTGATGGAAATTCACAGATAAAAAAGTAAAAGAAATCTGTGGAGAGATATGATTGTCTATATACTAAAGGAACATGGCATCTAAGAATGAGTAAAATAGCAATGTAGACTAGACTGGTTGGCAGCCATTCTAGGAGAAAAAAACGGCTCTGAATTCAAAACCACTTCTGAGAAAGTCATGGCAATTCACAGAGAATGAAGTAAAAGAAATTTTTTTAGAATAACATTTGCTTAAATCCTGAAAGAACATGGCATTTTTAGAAAAACAAAACAAAAACATGAGCAAGAAATCAATGTCTAATACATCATGTTTTGTATCGGTTTGTGAAAAATGATTGCATATTAAGTAAAAAATTGACTTAACCTTTAGCACTCTGCATTATTAATATTACTTCTTGGTTTGCTGCTTTCTTTTTCAAGGCCTCTCAATTGCAGTAACCTTATTGTTAATTTCACTCAAAGGTGCTTTCTGTTGCCATAGCAGGATATGACAACACAACTATGATATTTAAATTCAGGTATCAGTCCCCTTCTGTGAGAGGATAAACTTTTTTTAGAGCAAATGAAGTCACATACAAAGTGATAAAGGTTAATAAAAGCAACAGACTTCTTAGCCAACATAATTAGTAAAAAGATATATCTGCTATGATGATGAAATAATGTTGATGATGACTGCTTTGAAATAATTAAAAAAAAAAAAATAGGAGGAAATTATTTTAAACAATTTAAATAAATTTTTTAATATAGCAACATGAAATATGAGGTTAGGTTAAAAATTGTGTTTAAAAATTGCATGATTTAATTTTGCTTTCTTTTTTTTTTTTAACTATATTTTTTCTGCTTTTTATTTAATTTTGTATTTAACACATCCCCTAAAATATGAGATTTTGTTTCTGTTTTAAAATATTTTGATTGATTTTATTTTTTGTTTAATTTTTTTTTTTTTTTTTTTTGGGAATTTCTCTTATTTTTATTTCAATTCAGATATTTATTTTTTTAAAATTTTATTTAAATGGGTAATGAAATTATTTTTTTTTTTTTTTGTTTCATTTTGTCCAGAGGGCATTCAAATAATTTTTTTTGAAATTGCATATTTTTTAGGGTGTGGAGGGGAAACTAAACAATTTTCAAAACCTTTTTTCATTTGTTTTAAAATGATGTTTAAATATTTTTCAAAGTTCATTGTTTTTTTGATTTTTAAATTGAACAGTATATTTTGTAAAGGAACCTTTTAAATATTTTTTAACAGAATTTTATTTTCATGATAGTAATTGGAGGAGTGGGAAAATTTTGTTCATTTTTTTTTTTTTTTTTTAAACACTTTTTTGTGTATATTGACTGGTGCAGTGGGAGAAAAAGAAAAAATTTCTCTTGTATTCTGTCCTGAAGACATCTAAAATTTTCAAATTGCTTTTATGGGTTGGGAATACATATTTTCCTCCTTTTCATTTGGTTCAGAAGGCATTTAAATAATAGTCTCAATGCAGGAGAGGCGATTGAAAGAAATGCTAAAATGTATTATGTGAGGATAATTGAAAAAAATGCTAAAATATAATATGCAGGGTGACTGAATTATTGGAGTGGAAAGAAGTGCTAAAATAAGTTGTGGGAGAGGAAAATTTCTACCCTGATGACCATATTAAAACATATAACAAGATGTACAAAAAATTAAGTTTGCAATGCAAAGTCATTTTGATTTTGAGTAACAAACACATGAAAACTGAGAAATTATTTCAAAAGACACATTATGGAATCATCTAGGTTGGAACTCTTTCAGAATATTAATATGTAGGGGTGAAAGAATCGGAATAAGAATATCCTGGGTTGAAATACCTCAGAAAATTAATTACTGGTGGGTGGGGTTATATGTTTGGGGATTGAGAGCTAAAAATTTGGTGGGGAGAGAGTAGTAATTTTTTTTTTTCGTAATTTTTCATTACTTTTAAAAAAAAATTGGCAAACATGGATAAACATGCCTGCAATGATGTAGTGTCAAAAGGACTTTTTCCATGATACGTTTTTTTTTAACGGTCTTCATTCTTCAGCAACGTTTGTTTTAAAAAGCGATGATTAGAATTCTAATAAAATCTAAGCATATGAGATTGAATTTATACATTTTCTTTGTTGTTGAGAAATTATCGATTTCAACTGCAGTTGGAACAGGTCAACTTATTAAAACACTAGTTTACATTAACTGAAGGTTATCAGTTCAATACTTGTGCTGGGTAGTAAATGTACATTTGAGTTACTCCACAACCTTTTACACTATATTTTATTTATTCATGTTTGTCAGATCTCTGATTCCTAACAAAAAAAAAACAAAATATTTTAATCATTTACGTATGCTTTCAAAAACTGATTTTTCAAGCAGTTGTCTTGCAGGAAAAAAACTGGCAAAAATGATCTGGAATTCTTAGATGAAGCATTTTCATTATTATTGGTAAAAAAAAACAAAAGCAAAATTCTATAGCCCAACATTATGGTAAGTTATTGCTTTATGTCTTAGGACAGTGATTCCCAACTTTTTTTTTCTCTGGGCCACAATTTTGGAATGAAAATTGGCTCATGCCTCACTAAAGTACATTCAAAAATAAAATAAAAAAAACAAAGAGGGCTAAAGGAAGATAACTGTGGATTTGAAACCAGAACATTACCATTGATAACTCTCTCCTCCAATTTGCAGACCGTAGTTAGTATATTCTTAATACTTGATGTAATGCAAAAATATCACAATGATAAAATCAGTCAATAATTATTTATAACTATTTATACAGAGACTCATGCATGCAATTAGAAGTAATCTATAATAATATTTTAAATTTTAAAATCATATTTATTTTTGGCATATGGATTTTTTAAAACTGTTTCTAAATCTTTGATCATTTTTCACTTATTCCACCTCACCTGCTATCTGTCTTACATATCAAGCATGCCGAACCATTTGGGAACTACTGTCTTAGAATGTCTAGAGAATTGCTAAATGGAATCATTGTAATTTAAAACATGGAAATATTTCTCCAAATAGTTTCTGGAAGACTTTTTTTTTAAATATCAGAAAGCAAACAGAATTTTTCTGTTAGAAGAACCATTTTTTTCTTTTTTTTTTTTTTCAGGACCTTAGCAACTCAAATATTTATTGAATTTTTTTTTTTTTATGTTAATTGATTAATATTCATTAATTCTGTTAAACAAGCATCCTCATTTTTGTTGTTTTTATCTCAGTGTTTCTCTTGCTATATTTGTAGAAGATAGAGGGAGTGAAAATTTGTCCTTGTAAAAAAAAAAAAAAAAAAAAAGTACAACAAAAGAAGAAGATAAATCGTAAAATCCAAAACTTTTCCATTTCAGAAATTGTTGAAATGATTTTCAAAAAAATTATTTTCGTCTTTTTTTTTTGTTTTTTTTTGAGTCCAGTTACTTCTTATAAAGAGAGTTTTTCATATGACAGGAAAAAGACTAGACACAGAAAGATTTCTTACTACAACTTGGATTGTTACATCTGTCTGCTACTCAAGCTATCATGCAGACTGCATACTTAATACACTATCTTTCATTTATACCTGGTGCATGGACATAGTAGTAGACACAAAATTCACATGTATATTTAACAGATAAATGCTTGACTCCATTTTAAATTATGTTTCTTGGAAAGTATAAAATTTATAATAATTTGAATATTTAATTCGTCCATTTTGTCAAAGTTTTTCTTCACAAAAATGTGCAAGTTACAAATTGAAGGTGCCAAAATTAAACAAACCATCAAGTTAAATATCTGTGAAGTGTCATAACCAATGATGAAGAGTGTGACACTGCAATCCAAAGGTGCATTGGGATAATGAAAGGTGCCTTCCAAAAGCTAGACAAAATATCCAAAAACAGAAAAAAATTCTTTAGTAACAAAGAAAACATTACTTAACTGTTATGCAATATCAGTTTTCCTATGTGGCAGTTAATGCTGGACAATCTCCTCATAGATGAAGAAGAGACTTGAAGCAACATAAATGTCGTTCTACAGAAAGATACTGAGGATACCATGGACCAAACATGTGAGCAATGTCAAAAATTTAGAGAAAATGGAAACAAAAAGGAAACTTATACTTAAAATCAGGAAGATATTGCTGAAATGGCAAGTAATAAAGAACGAGGGCTTAGAAAATTATATACTCACAAAGCAGATCGAAGGCAAGAGGGAGAGAAAAAAAAAGTGCCTAAAAAATGAGCACGAGAAAATGAATGGTAGAACAAGGGTTATGAGAGATAACAAAAAGACAAAATTTATTAAACCTCCATTAGTCACATGGGGTGTTTTGTTACCCCAAAATTTTTAAGGTACTAGTTTTTAACTTGTTTCTTTTACTCTCTTCCACTACACCCCTGACTCAGTGAGGGTGGGTACCATGCAGTGTGATGCAGCTGTAGCCTCAGTTGTCACAGAAGGCAGATACCAGAGGACTATCCATTTTTGGAAATCCAAGGTGATTAATACAGGGTTAAGAACTAAAAAGCAAAAGTGGAGAGCCATGATCGTCTACATCCTGAAGGGACACGGCACAGAAGAAAAACAATATCCAATAAGCTTCCATTGCTGTTGCTTACTCTAAAGATTATCCTGAAAATGTGGGCTCAATCCCTAATCAAGGCAGTGCCTGAGTATCTGAGTTTTGAATGAGATGAAGAGAATCTATATATATATAAAGTTGTAGCCTCTGTCTGATTGTTATTGAACTCCTCCTTGGCTTTTGGAGATAGACCCCCATAACCATATATATTCTGAAACTACATTATTCAGGGTATTTGGATAAGAATATTTCATTTTGATCAAAGGGGGCACAATCCCCCCCCCCGAATTTTTTTTCCATTTGATTTAAATTAAATTTAAATTTGAACAAGGGAATGATTCATATCCAAAATATAGGAGGAGAAAGCCAGAAGATGGAGGTCAAATTGGCAAAATCATTGAGTAATATTTGAACTGCATCATTTTTCTCTACAAATTATAACAATGATTTAAAATCAATCATCATTTTCTTAGATGTTTGATACGCAGCAAGGTGCAGATAATTCAGCTAGTAGTTTTGTAAAGAGAGAAAACTAGCCATTGTGAATTGAAATTCAAGACGAAGATTATAGGCATGTCAAAAAGTAGGCAGGGGTTAAACCTAGATACCACACTAGAAAGAAATAAGGTTTATTTTTTTTTAAATTATTTCACCCCAAGCAAGGAAACAAAGACTTGGAGAATTATTGTGTTTGAAAAAATTTGAGAAAAAAGTTTGAGAGAGAACAATTGAAATTAAGAAGACAGAAAAGCAATTGACATTATATTTAAATATTTTGAAAACTTGACTGGAAGGGAAAAATCTGGAAGAGAGAATTAAAAGCATGAAATACAAGAAGAGAAACTGTTAGATACCTCGGAATTTCAACTGTAAGATAGGGTTGAAAGTCTTGTTACCCCATACCAAAAAAGAAACTAATGAGAACAATAGAACAACAATTTAGTTTTTTGGATAAATTATTTCATTAACACTGTCCACATCGAGAATGTCTGTATGAACACCATGAGGAAATCTGAAAAGAAAATTATGTTATATAGGGATGAGACTTTACCCTATAGATTGGGTGGGGGCGGCGACCACTCGGAGATACCAGGTTTGCTTGAAAGGTGGTGTGAATAATGACTCAGAAAAAGTTTTGAGAGAGATATTCAAAGCACTTTTGGGAAAGGTATGAATCCATCTCTTCTCCCTCCCTATGGGTTAATTGTAAGACTTTTAAACTAAATCACTATTGTTATTTAGTGGCATAGTGCTATAGATATGCTTCATACACTGTAGAGTTAAAACTAATCAGATAGTCCTCACTATTCAGGCTGGTTAGTTTAGTAACTAAAAAACAACCAGTTTTTTAATTGAGGTCTCCAGCTATAACACACCAATCACCGAAATTAAACTCAAGCCTGGTCGGTACTTTTGGTCTCTTATCACCCCTACCAAAAAAGTAATGAGAAAAATAGAATAAAGTAATACAAAGCACATGTACTGGATTCAGTTTATTCCCATTGACACTGTCACATTTACAGTTCGTGCTATCTGGAATTGAAAATTATATTATATTGAGGGGACTTTCGGACCACCCTATAGTAAATGTTTAAAAATTCTAAAATTCTGTACAATACAGAAATGGCACCCGAAAAGGGGATTGGGAAAAGGACGGTCTTCTTCTGTCTTAACTATAACAATGAGTACTATAACATTTGCAAACACTGAATTTGTACAAAACAATATTCCTTACCAAAACAACATTCATTCGTACCTTTCTTACTACAACCACAATTATAATACCTCTTTGTCTCTATGAAAAACTAATTCCCCATACAACAGTTCGTGGTCTGTATGGAGGAATAAAACAACAATTCTAAAAAATTAAAATAAGATTATGTATACAAAAACCCCCTAAAGAAAATAAGATTAGTTAAACCCCCCCTAAATAAATAAACAATAACTAAAGAGGAAAGCTCATCAGAATAGTTAGCATGGAAATATTTATAGAGAAGGTAAAGGGAAGCTGCATTACAGTGGTGAGAATGTGACTGAAGCTGAGGTGCCATGTCAGGATGAAGAACATTGCAGATTCTTCTTTGGAGTTTATCAAGATTGATCTGGATCTAGATTTGCAGCAAGCTCTCATCATTTTAGAGTTGAAATTCCGAGATGTAACCGTAAGTTCTATGGCAACAGTTTCTTTTATCACACTTCTAACTTGTAGAACTCTCTTCTGGTATCTTGCTTCCCAGTCAAGTTTGATCTTCAAAATTTAAATGCAATATCAATCATTATCTTCTTAATTCTTGTTCTTTTATTGTCTTCTCTCCTTGATAGTATATTTTTTCTCATATTCTTTAACATTCAGTAACCCCCCTTGCATCTTAGTGGCTTTATTGCCTTGCTTGGTGTGAAATGGTTAAACATAAAACAACAAAGATGAGGACAATAATCTGCATATAAATACTCTGAATATAATTTGAAATAAATGTGAAATATAGCAATGCTTCATCGAAGAAGTTCTGAGGTAGACAGGTTTTTTCCACCATTTTGGTGTAAATTAAGATTTTGTTGCTTTCTCATTTCATTTTTTTATTATTTTTTTTTTTAAATTTTAAAAAATCTTTAAAACTGTTTCTTCAGGATATTAAAGCCAAAAATGATGATTATTTTTCCAAAATGAATTGTTACCATGTAAATCTTATAGAAATTTCCCTTTCTACCCAGGTTCCCCCTGATAGATCTCCGTACCGATCACCCATCAGGAGGCCTTCAAGTAAAGCAAATGATAAGAGTGATAGAATTTCACAACATGGTATTACCATTCCACAGATTGGTAAGTATTTTGCTGAATATTTTACAAGTTTTTATTCAGAATTTGACATTTACCTGAAGAAAATAATAAGAAATGTTTGAATTAAATTTCATTGTTTTATTTCCCTTTTTTCATGTTCATGAGTGGTTCATTTTGTGATATGTTGAACATTGTTGGTTTATTTAATGTTGAAATCAGTCATTTTCTTATATTTGTCAGTATTTACTTGGTTCAATGATAGATAATATTAGTCTAGGTATTGATCATTTATATTTGAGTCTAGAATTATCTACTTGATTCCATGATAGGTACATATTGGTTGTTTATATTTGAGTCTAGAATTATCTACTTGATTCCATGATATGTACATATTGATTGTTTATATTTGAGTCTAGAATTATCTACTTGGTTTTGTGATAATTAAATATTGGTTGTTTATATTTGAGTCTAGAATTATCTACTTGATTCCGTGATAGGTAAATATTGGTTGTTTATATTTGAGTCTAGAATTATCTACTTGATTCTGTGATAGGTACATATTGGTTGTTTATATTTGAGTCTGTAATTATCTACTTGGTTCTGTGATAGGTAAATATTTATATTTTATACCTTTCAACTTGTAGTCACCGCCACCACCAAGAAATTTTATATACAATGAAACTCCTTATTTTTATATATCAAAATAATATATTTATATTTTATTTTTATGTTATAATGTAGTTCAATATTTTTTGGATGTAAAAAACCTGAATATATTTTATTTTTTTGTGCAATTTGTTTAAAGGCCATTGAAGATGAATCTTAAGTGCAATATCAAGTTGTTGGGGATGTGCAGAATTAATTAATTGTAATTGAGTGAATCATAAGGAATTTGTGTAGGTTGCATCCACAAACAAATAAATAAACAAATTTTAAATACAATCAAAAACAAAACACATTCAATTTAGAAACCAACAAAACATTTATATACAATTAAAAGTAATATATATATACAGGATGTTTTGGTATACGTTACTATGGCAAAGTGTGTGTGATATTTGATGTTTCGGTATGTCTCTTTTTGTATTTGTATGTTCAGTTACAGTCTTTCTGGAATTGTGTTAATTAACATTGTCGATGTTAAGTGTTTTTAGGAATGAGTTCTTATAGAGTGGTCTACCTTTGACTGTAATATTTCTAGTTCGAATGTTGATTTTTACTTCATAATGTAGTGAGTATAGTTCACTTTGGATAAGCAAAGTTGTTTTAGGTTTGCGATTGGATGTCCACAGAGTTGGTCGAGTTTAAATTGCAAGTGAGTCAGCGTTGATGTACTTTTGCGCAGTAAAGTTGTGATTTCGAATGACGTGGAGTAAGTTGGCAATTTCTCTGTGGATGTTCATCTCTGACCCTTTTGGTCAGTCAGTGTTTTTTTTTATATGTTTTGGAAAGTCCAAAATTGTCTCAAAGAAGTTTTGGCGCAATTTTGTTTTGCACGTGAAACTTTCAGATTATTGTGTCGTTAACCAATGAGATTTGTTGATTCGCCTAGTACGGTTTTTTATTGGTCGAAGTTTTCCATACGTAGGCGTAAGGTATAGACTGTTCTGTTACTAGGGGTGATAGGTAGAAAAGGACGAGTCTACAAAGTCACTTATTCATTGAATTTATATTCGAATAATTTGCAAATAAAGGGTGACTACTCTGTAATTAACCAAACTCTAAGTATATTTTAAGTTAGCTTTACTTGTATTCCAACTAATCCCAAATCAGTAAGAGTCCAGTTTTGAACATATGTTTTTACAATTTAAAAACAATTGTTTTTTTTTTTCTGCTTATAATAATATGTGGAAATGTTCTTGATCTTTTTTATTTATTTATTTTTTTTACATTAATGTTCACCCTGTTTTAGACCCAAGAGTTACTCAAGGTATAAGGTTACAAACGGAAAAGATTAATAATTTTCATTTAAAATAACCAAATCTATGAAATCATGGTATATCTATTTTATAAAAAATTAAAATGTTATTTCTTATATATTATAAATTATATAATTCAACATACAGGGTGCAGCAGAAATACCTCTCATGTTTTAAAGGTTAACAAAAAGACCAAGGTAACTTCTGTTAAAAATATGTTTTCACTATTGTTTAAATAAAGGGCTACTGTTTTTATTCATTTGATTTTAAAAATGACATCCTCCAAATGGTGGACTGTCCTGGGTATGATGATAAACTACATCCAGCAGCAAGGCCTCTGATCAGGAGGTTTTGAGGAGCATTGAACCACCTCTTAATTGCTGGTGTTTTCAGGTCCACCCTGACCTGGGGTGGTAGCACCTGTTAGGGTCCCAGCTATGGGCAAATAGTTAACACCAAAAATTGTGTAAAAATAAGTTTTAGTACCAGAAATACTTTGCAATAAAAAAAATTATTACCAGCAATAATTTTTGAAGGAAAAATTATTATCAGCAGTACTTTAAAAAAATACCAGCAATACAAACAGCTATACATTCTTTGGAAAAAATATGACCAGCTATAGATTTCTTCAAGGAAAAATATTGCTAGAAATAAATTTTTAAGAAAAACATTACCAGCAATAAAAATTTTGTCGGCATTAAATAACCCACTGAGGTTAATGTGCCATAAAACAAACCAAACCAAAATATGGGCTATATACACTATACACTGCAGACAATTTCTAAAGTCGACCATTATTCAATAGTTCTAGTACTTTGAGGTCTTCCAGGCAGCTTCTTTTTAAGCACTGAACCTGTAGCAGTATCAATTTTCTATCCGGAACATCATCATTCTGACGTAACAGCAGATTAGTACAAAAAGCTTTCCATGTTGCAATTACATATTCACCAGTGTTAAAAAAACATTTCAATAGAAAACACACAGTGTGCACCCATTCAAACCATGATGGTATCTGAAAAAGAAATGGTCAGACATTAGCTAGATGAAGATAGCATTGCCACTTGTCTAACTTCACTAGCGTCCCAATCAGAGGCTAGGCGCAACTACATATCCAAAAGCATGGATATGTATCTGCGCCTAGCCTCAGATTGTTTATGTCGATGTGTTTGTGTGAACCAAAATGCATACACCTGTATGAAGAAAAATATATGGAAAAACAAACAGAAATCCTCATATGCAATTATGCTGTTTTAATGTTAATATAATATCAACATCAGACGTTTCGGTCTAATAGACCATCTTCAGGACATATTCATAAAACATAATTAACATTATGAAGTTGGTCTATTAGACCGAAACATCCGACATTGACATTATATTAACATTAAAACAGCATAATTGCATATTAGGATTTTTGTTTGTTTTTCCGTATATTTTTCTTCAAACTGTTGGATCTATATCCATATATTTGCTTAAATACAGGCTATCTAATTTGTATGTAGTATCTATAAAATGGGACAGCATAAACACAATATCCCTTTACATTTCATAACACACCTTATACATATACCTTAAAGGTTTAATGTTAATATAATGTCAATGTCGGATGTTTCGTTGACATTATATTAACATTAAAACAGCATAATTGCATATTAGGATTTTTGTTTGTTTTTCCGTATATTTTTCTTCATACTGTCGGATCTATATCCATATATTTGTTTACATACACCTGTATGTATGTGTGTCTATGTGTATGAGGGGGTCACGTCAAACAAATACAGAAGTATAGTTTATTCACCCTTTTACCACCAAACATAGTCAAACAAGTATAAATAGATCCAATTTTTAAAAAATAAACCAATTTGTCTGATTATCACAAAAGCATGAAACCCAGGGTCAAACTCATATCCATACAAATGAATATATATATGCTCTAACTCTGATATTGAGGACTTTAACCCATAGATATAGCATACCTTAAAACTATATATATATATATATATATATATATATATATATAATATATATATATACATTAAATATTCCTACGTGGCCTTTTTGAACATGACTATTGGTTTATCCCTTGGTTCCTGTTTGTTTAAACTCTTTTATTTACCATTAATCTTCATTTTTCTTCTCAGTAGGGGTAGATAGTTTCATCTATCATCTGGTACACACTTCTTCCTAGTCTTTTGAACAATTAGAGCTTTGTCCCTTGGTTCCTGTTTAGGATTAGGTTTCTAGTTCCTTCTAAAGTCTTCTCATTCTCTTTCACTCCCAGTAGTCCGTTGCATCTTAGTGGCATTATTGCCTTGCTTGGGGGTAAATAGATGAGTAGAGGTTTATCCCTTGTTTCCTGTTTAGGATTGGGTTTCTGGTTCCTTTTAAAGTCTTCTCATTCTCTTTCACTCCCAGTAGCCTCTTGCATCTTAGTGGCATTATTGCCAGTTTAGTTTCCTGTTTAGGATTGGGTTTCTGGTTCCTTCTAAAGTCTTCTCATAGTCCCAGTAGTCCCTTGCATCTTAATAGCATTATCATCTTGCTTGGGGTGAATTGATTAATATATATATATATATATATATATATATATATATATAGGGGAAATCTATGACAAACTAAAAAAGCTTTTCTGTGTCACATTTTAGGACATCATCAGACTAATGTGATGCTTATGTTGATGTGACTACACAGATGCACAAAGGTGGGGGGGGCACACTGAATTTTAAGTGCAAGTTGTTTTTTTTTAATATGTTTCTTGTGTCTATGGTCTAGCTGATTTTATTTTTATTACTTTATTAAATATCCCACATTGTTATGATAGAAGACCTACCAAGAAAGGTCACATGAAAACTTTTCATAATTTGTCATAGATTTCTCTAAAATTGTCCATAATATATAAAAATTTATATATATATATTTATTTATTTTGGTAAAATTTGATGGTGGCATTCTCAAGAATTTTCTCTCTGGGATCAAAGTTGCACTTACACTTTTTTTTTTTTGCTTTACTAATGTTCACTCAGTACAAGTCCCAAGAGCCACTCAAGGTAGAAGATTACTGTGTGGTGTTGTATTAGCATAAGAAAGGGCAAGAATTGAAATTCTTGGGGCTGTGCAGGAAAGATAATGACTGATTCTAGATTTTAAGATGTCAAGATTAGTGACTAAAACTATAGTCAGAAATCTAGCGTTGAAGTAAACTTTAGAAGGAACTGGAAACTCAATCTTAAACAGGAAACAAGTGATAAACGTCTACTCCTGTTCAAAAGACTGAGGAAGGGTGTGAACCAGACAATAGGCAAACCTATCAACTCCTACTTGTATCTCTGTGTATGACATTTTATCAAATATATTAGTTGTATATAGAAATACGTTCTACCATGACTTCACTCTAAAGAGTGTCACCCCTTTTCTCTGTAAATTTTGATTTTCATTTTATGGCTGAATGGTTAGAATGTTTGTATTCTGATCATGAGTCCCATGTTTGAACCTAACCACATTTGATTTATATTTTTATCTTTTTGACTATTGTCCCATGGGACGATAACTAAATGAATTAAAGTATTGATTCATAAATTTGGTAACAGTAGTTGTGGGTTCAATCCCTGGGCTGGGTAACACAAATTCATTGAAAATAGTGGAAGCATTAACTAAACATTACAGAATAAGAACATTCTCCCCTGTAGATTAAATAAAGGGTTTAGTTTAAAATTCTAGCTGGGAGGTATGACGACCAAAACATTATTCAAGTAACAACAAAGATGAAGACATTAGTCTGAATGTAAATATATTTTTACTGCTTTTTTTTTTTTTGTTTATCTCTTGCAGAAATAACAAGAGACAGCAGCACTGAACGAGGCAATTCGTTTGACGATGACGAAGCCAGTTTACTAAAACGTAAAGCCTCAACTGAAGACAAAGGCAAGGTTATCAGTCGCAAAAAGTCCGACCTGGTTGGTGCAGACAATTATCGGACGCCAAACAATAGCATGGTGTCCCAGCAAGATATGCCTGTCGATAACTATCCGGGTAACCCCTCTGAGCCTTGGCGGACTATGATAACTCCAGACAGGGTGTCTGCTTCTCCTGGTTCGGCCAAAGTGAGGCCCCACATTGTAGGCACGGATTCCGAGGCGTTTTATGACAATGAGGATAATCTGCAACATGGGATCCGGGTAGTGAATCCTAATCCAATGCGTCTTTTTGTGGCTTTGTTTGATTATGATCCTGCAGTTATGTCTCCAAATGCAGATGGATCTGATGCTGAACTTCCATTCCGTGAAGGACAAGTTATAAAGGTTTTTGCCCATTTCCTTTCTTTCAAATATGATTGTTTTCCCTTATCCATTGTTTCATTTACATAAAGGCAACTTCATAAATAAACAATTCCTAAGTTTTACTTAATAACAGTCTCAAAGTGCAAGTATAATCATGTCAGCAGTTCATGTATGCCAGACAGAACCATTAAAGTGCTTTCTTTCAGTAAAAAAGGAAAAATCCTCAAGACCTCTCTATTTACTTTCAAGTGAAAAGTTGAAAGTTCTCAGTAAGAAAAAAAAATATGAAGTGATTTTTAAGATCTATGGTAAGAGCAAATCTTTTATCCAGCATATAGTATATTGCTGGAATTGTTAAACCCAAGTCAATTGTACAGTTTCCAGTTTACCACTATTCCTACCCTGACATGTATATTGAAACCACAATATAATATGGTTTCCTTTTGCTTAAATTTACAATCAATATATGCATTTATTCACAAGCAACATCTAAGTTTTAACAGTCTCAAAGTGCAAGAGAAGTGATAACGGAAATTCACATGTGCCAAACAGAATCTTTAAAGTGCTTTCTTTCAGTGAAAACTGCAAATGCCTCACAAAAATGTGGGGCCTTCCCTTCCCTCACTATCTATAGTTTCATTTACTCACAATGTCATAAATAAAAAATTCCCAAGTTTTACTTAATAATCATCCTATATTTCTAGATCTAGACTTGCAGCAGGCACTCATCATTTTACAGTTGAAATGGTGAAATGTGACTAAGTTCTATGTTAGCAGTTTCTTCTGTCACACTTCTCACTTGTGGAACCTTTTTTCTTTCCAGTCAACTTTGATCTTCAAAAATTTAAATGCAATGTCAATCATTATCTACTGTCTTCTTAATTCTTGTTCTTTGTCTTCTCTCCTTAATACTAGTATATTTGTTTCGTATTCTCTAACCCTCAACAATCACTTGCATCTTAGTAGCTTTATTGCCTTGCTTGGGGTGAAATGATTAAACAAAAAAGAATGTATGGGAAATTCAAAGTAAGCTTCTGTATTTTAGCAGTTTCTTTGTTCAACCATTTATGTGCTTTTAAGTGCCTTTTTTAATCTTCTCTTTTTTTCTCAGATATTTGGTGAATGCGATTCTGATGGTTTTTATAAAGGAGAGTGCAATGGTAAAGTTGGTTATGTCCCTTGTAATATGGTCACAGAAGTTAAAGTCGATGACCCTGATGTGGTACAACAGCTGCTGAAAGAGTCTAGTAGCACCTCCAGTGGAGATAGTAGTAGTACTCCTGGTAAGTATCTGGCAACAATAATGACTTTCCACAACTTCCTGTTCTTTATAGTTCTAAGTAATGCTTGACACTTTACCATCCCTCTTTGTCTTTTTGATCACCAAAGTTAAGCAACATCTATCTTGGTCAGTACCTAGATGGGTGACTGCTTGGAAATACCAGATGGTGTAAGCTTGGATGTGTGGGTGGTGTAATGGATAATGGCTCTGAATTTTTAATCATAGAGCCAAGTGGGGTTCACTTATTCACAGATATCCTTGGGAAAGGTTTGAATTCCTCTTTTGAGTTAGTTATTAAGATTTGTATCACAAAACCATTATTATCTACAAAAAAGTTTCTTCTAATCTAAAAATATTTCTGGCTTTAAATAACCTGCAAAAGGGTTGATGAGCTGTAAAAAATGAATCGGTCAAATCGACTCTTTTTCTTTTTCTGCCATCTCTATCTATAAAAGGCAGGATGTGTGTGTGTGTGTGTATATAACAAATGCACGGCTGCAATTTTCGACAGATTTGCACCAAAATTTACATGCACATGCTCCAAGTTAGCAAGAAGGCCAAGACTGACTTTGCATTTCCCAACTCCCATCGATAGTGGAAATAATCAATTTTTTTCATGCTTCTACGGCAATTTTCATGTAGTTTACGGCCATTTTCTACTGGCCAGAGTGAGAGCCAATAGCTGGCTGCCACGAATAGGCAAGAAGATTCTATTGCCCAGCAAGAGAGCCAACAGCTGGCTGCCACAAATGATGAGTGCCTGCTGCAAGTCTAGATCTAGAAATATGGGATGATTATTAAGTTAACAAATGTTAACTAGCATGCAAAAAAAATCGATAGCTACATTCATCACAAGTGGGAAAAATTTAAATCTGCATGGCACTTTGCTCAAATTGGCTCATTCACTTGCTTAAACTCAATGCTGATTCTGATTCCGCAGAACTGGGTTGGGTGTGAAAAAGTATTTGTTGTTAACATTCTTTTTTCATTCGGTTTTTCCAATTAAGAGTCCTTTTTTAAAGCTGATCATTTTGTGTTGATTTTGTTTAGTTTTTTTTCTCGTAAAAGATTTAATGTTTAGTATAGAGCTTAGAAAAAAATTTGCAGTGTGAGATAGGCAAGAAGTAAGGCATGTAGCAACATCAGCACGGCAAAGGGCACTCCTTTAAAGGCAAGGAAGGGCAAAAATATTTTAAGTCAAGTGATAGCGATTGCTGTATGAGTCATACGATTTTTGAATCAAGCATGGGCAACGCCGGGCCATGCTACTAGTTTGTTACAAATTTCTAAAAATTCTAACATTTTCAGAGGGAAAAGTGAGTCTCTGTCTATATTTCTGAGATGATGTATTATGTACATTATTTACATTATTACAACTATTGTCCTCATCTTTATCGCCATATTTATTACAACGTTTCGGCTGTTGTACACTCCTGCCTTCTTCAGGTGGTTGGCATGTCGAACTGAACCCTTTATTTCGCTCACTGGGGTAGACTGTTCTAGTTCTACGTGCCATGTTTAATGGATGTCAATTATCAGTTATCTCCTGTTAATTTTCCTCTGAAAGTTCTCCACTGCCTTAACCGAGTATTGAATTCACACTCTTTGGGTCCTGTCACTGGATCTAACCAACACCTTTTTCCACTGTGCCATGTGTCCTTGAGGACATCGGTGTATGAATTTCTGGGTATTATAAACCTAATGTCTTCAGCAACCATTTTTACCAGTGTTCATATTGCAATTTTTTGCTGTTATCATTACATGTTTTTACCAGAGCTCATATTGCAACTTTTGTTGTTATTATCACTTTTCTCTGGTACTCCTTATTGAAATATAGCAACAACTCTAAATAGAACCTTATGTAGCTTTATTTGACTAATTCAGCCTTCACTTTGAAGAACATTCATTGTGATTGATAATTACAAATAAGAGAGAGATGGGATGTGTGCATTTTATTACCATTGGCCTCAAATCTGGTATTTTAATAGGAGTAGGTAGGTTCACCAATCATCCTGTTCACACTCCTCCCTGGTCTTTTGAACAGGAGAAGAGGTTCGTTCCTTGTTACCTGTTTCAGTTTCTTCTAAATTCTACTTCAACTCTATACTTCTAACGTCTCTGTTTAAACTCTGAAATTTATACTACTATTGGGCTTTCAGTTCCTTCAAAAGTTTTTTTTTGCCTTCTCTTTTGCTACCTGTAGCCCCTTGCATCTTAGTGGCATTATTGCCTTGCTTGGGGTGAATTGATTAAAAAAGAAAAAAATGTTTATCCTGTTTAGACTATAAAAATGTGTACAACCATTGGCCTAAAATGAGGGATCAGTTTATAAACTGATTTTAATAAAAAAAACTCGTACTTAAGCTTGATATCTACACCACCATTGTTGATCAAATTTTGATTGTCTAGAAACATTTTTAGATGTTACCAGATTTTATGGCATGTGTGCTCCCCCCTCTCATCATGAGCATATATTAAGAAAAATAATAGTGTTCAATGGTACAATTCAGTGGAATTTCATCCATGTTCCTAATTTGAAACAATTCATTTTCTTGTGGCTTTATTACAAATGTATTGAATTTTAATAGGGAAAAAAAGTGTGTCATATACACAATAAAAATAGTATCTGGCATGCACTGGTACAATTGTCTAGCATGCAATCAAGCAATGCGTGTCTGGCATGAACTTGAACAACATTTGTCCAGTAAGAAAATCAAGCAATGTGTGTCTGATATGAACTCAAACAACATTTTCTAGTATACAGTCAAGTAATGTGCGTCTTGCATGCAATCTAAATGTGTCTTATATCTGACATATATATTTTCCAAAAATTGCATTCTTTACTGCTATCCCCAAAAAATGTTGGGGTTTTGTCCCTAAATTTCCTCAGCCATCTCGTCCTGGGTATGACGTTAAACTGTATCCAACAGCAAGGCCTCTGATCAGGAGGTTTTGAGGAGCGTGGAACCACCTCTTAATTGCTGGTGTTCCCAGGTCCACCTTGACCCAGGGTGGTAGCACCTATTAGGGTCCCAGCTATGGGCAAATAGTGAACTCCTAGTTTTTCCAGCTCTTACCCACGTCCTGGGTATGACAATAAACTACATCCATGTCCTGGGTATGGCACTAAACTACGTTCAACAGCATGACCTCAGATAATGTTTTCGGAAAAATAATGTTGCCAGCTATACGTTTTTTGGAAAAAATAATGTTGCCAGCTATACGTTTAATAGTACTGTATATTTAATATATATATATATATATATATATATATATATATATAACTTAATTTGGCATTAAATGACCTACAGTGGTTGATATGCCATAAAACCCAACCAACCAACATCCTCAGCCATCAAATAGATCACTAAACATATTTTACTATAACCGAATATCACTTTTTTTTACTATTTCTATCAATGCTGCTTCTTTTATTGTTGTTGCTGTTGTTTTTAATATTTCAAGCTTTTACATGTTTCCACCAAATTTCTGGAAGTTATTGTTGCAGATTTAGTGATAGTGAATTGATAGTTCCTTGACCTCTAGTTGTGAGTTCTAAATCTCTGTTTTATTGAATTTCAATACATTGTTTCAAAACTCTTGTTTCATTGCATCTCAATATTAAAACTCTCTAACAAATGTTGTTATTTTGACAGCATGGGTTCGATAGTATTTGCATATCTTACAATTTAGATATTTTTCTACACTGGTATATTTAAATTCATTTGAGACTAGCACCCAGATATTAAATGATCATGAAATCTGTAGAATTTGTACAAATTTTCTTCGTCTTTTGTATAAATTATCATCATCTGTTTGAATTTCTGGGATGAAAATAGTCATTATTTATGTGCAGATTATTGTTCTAATCTTTGTTGTTTTAATCACAAAATTTCAGCCATTTTACTCTTAGGCCTTCATCAGGTGTATGTCAATCTGCTTACTCTTTTTTTAAGCCATTCATCCCAAGTAAAGCAGGAGTGCTACTAGTACGCAAGGGGCTGCAGAGAGTGAAAGTAAGAGAAAAGACTGTAAGAAATTAAAGAAAGTAAGGGAATAGTAGGGATTGAAAAAAAGGATAAAAAGAAGTACGAGAAGGATGAAAAAGAACGGAAGAGGAAGGGAGATTAACTGTTGGGAAGTGCAAGAGAAAAAGTTGTTGGAGTAGAAGAGGCGGTTACATTTAACTGTTTTGAAAGTAAATAAGTGGAACTGAGATGTTAACCTAGTAGCATGCAGTTGAAGCACCAGTGAAAATAGCTTGTCAGAGCAGATGACATGGAAATATTTATAGAAAAGACAGAGAGAAGCCACATTACATTGGTGAGAAAGTGACTGGAATCAAAACCCCCAAGTCAGGACCAATCACATTGCATGTCCGTCTTTGGATTTTGTTGAGAACCTTGAGATGACCAGCGGGGGTACCAGACCATATATGGCAACAGTATTCCATGCATGGATGAATGGTAGATTTGTAGTTGTGAAGGACAGACTCAGATGAGAAAAAACCTTCTGGTGCAACACAGAGAACCAATTTTCCTTGCAGTAGATGCAGCTATTGATTCAATGTAATTGTTCCACTTCAGATCAGTAGAAAATGTGAGACTGAAAAGTTGCAGTGAGGTACTATCATGGACTTGAACATCAACCATGCTTATAGGAGGCAGGGAAATTTCTCTTTAGTGAGGAAATGACAGCAGTTTTGTTTTGGAGGTATTAACATTCACAGGCTATTTCCTGCCCCAGTCAACCACAGATTGGAGGTCCTTTTCAAGACCAGGTTAATTTTGTCAGCAATGCCAAGATTTACTATTGAGACAGGAGTAAATGGTAATGTCATTTGCGTAGATGCCTACTTGAGAACTGATGACATTAGAAAGCCTTTATTTAACCTGTGGATTATTCTCATTCCACTAAACATGTTTATGGATATCTCAGCTATTTCTTATTTAGCACTGCTCTGTTATTGCTTGCCATTCCGTTGCTTCCAAGTACACATTACCCAGCCCAGGGATTGAACTTACAATTACTATGTCATCAAATTCATGAACCAATGCTTTAATTCACTAGGAATAAAAATTAATCTATCCATGCAAATTAAAAAAAAAAAGAAGTTCAATTCAAAATTCCTTGTAGGTTACCCAAATTAATATATACCTGATGAAGGCCAGAGGGCACAACAGCCGAAATGTTGTGATAATGTAAATAGATTATTATTATTATTATTACTACAACTATAGACAGTGGGAGCTTGTCCCCACTATCACACACTGTGACAACTTTGAAACATATATAATATACATATATAAACATTATTTACATTACTTGTTTTAGAAGCTGCTAACAAATTTTAATTTATAAAGTGCTTCTATTACCTGCGTCTCAAATAGCCTCTGACAACTAAGTCCAGCTTCAAACTTGAGAATAATAGATAAAGGTGGACAACTGGTGCCTCATAACCAGCTGCTTCACCAAGATGGAACTTGATGTCCAAGGAAGGCTGTTCATAAGGGGAAAGAAAAACCCCGATTTTTAAACATTGAAAAGTCTACAGGAGTAAATCTAGGCAGTAAACCCAGAATGGAGTCCTAAAAGTGGTTAGCTGTCAGCACTAACAAACTTCCAGTAACTCCTGCAGCCAAGCTGGTCTCAAATGTAATGCCCTGTATTCCTTTGGATCTTGTTGGTACAGCCAAGAAGGAAGGGGGCATGTAGTCCAGGCAGCACGCAGCCTTCATATACCACCACCCAGGCAGATGCCTTGAGGTGGTGTAATGGTTTGCAAGCTTGTCTTGCAAGAACAATTATAACTCAGTAGTCAGTTCGATCCTCACTGGGTGCCCTCTACTTTCGACCTTGTGCCACATCAAAGCTATGCTTAGAAAATCTTTATAACATCACCCAGGCCTGTGCTCTGGAGAAGTTACTCCAGTCTCACTACCAAAGGACTGAATTTTGACTAAACAGGTCACTATCATTATCTCATGGGATAAATGGATACCTACTACTACTAGTATAACTCCCACTCATACCCTCTCTTTTATTGTTGTTATTGCACTTGCTCTTATTGTTTTTTGTAGAATAGACAGTCAGGATTAAATAATGGACTATTCTATTTTGATCACATGGAAAGCTGGGAAAACTCCTCCACTTGTTTTCAGTGAAAAAAATGCATGAAAGGAAGATAGGTGTTTGACAGCCATTTCAGTGAAATAGAAAAAAAAATTGTCAATTTCAAATCTTTTCATTTCTAGCCACTTCTTAAAATAACGATCATTATTCATATTCATGATTGTTATTGCAATATTTTGTTAAAGTTGTTAAGCTCAAATATTTAACGATGTGATAGGGGAATTTCTACAGAGATTTTATTTTTGTAAAACTTTCTGTGAGCTTATTCAGTCATAAACTGATGTAATGGAATAACCTGTCACCCCATGAGTGACTACACTAAAGGTAGTAACTACCTATAAGTATCTGTAAGTCAACAGATTACAGAGACTAGCTGGGATCTGTTGAGTATGACTTAGAGTTATGTGAGAACTACCAACCTTCCAGTAGTAGCACACACTACTGGATTGACTTGCAACAACCTTGTGCATACCTGTTACCGTCATTCTTATTGTACTGGTTTTTACAATAAACCTTTACTTATTTTATCCACCTTGCTTTTTCTAGTATATATTCCTATTAGCACGAAATATAACATAAACTTACAAAGTAAAACTCTTTAGAATGTTAAAATCAGAAAACTGCAATTTTCATGGGTTAAAATTAGTATGTTTTTATTAATTGGGAAGAAATCCCAGCATGCATCTGTCAGATTTTTTTTTTTTTTTTTAAAGCATATCACCCCAAACAAAGCAGGAGTACCACTAGTATGCAAGGGGTTACAGAAAATGAGAGCAGGAGTAAAGAGGGGTGTTTGAGAAAAGGATATAGAGAAAGACGGAGATCAGGATCAAGGCATCAGAAGATGTTGATTGACATTACATTTGAATATTTGAAGATTATAGCTATCAGGGAATCAAGTAAAAGAAAGGGAGTTCTACTGTCAGGAAGTGAGAGATAAGAAGCTGTTGGAGTAGAAGAGACAGCTACATTTAACTGTTGTGACAATGAAAGGGTGGGATGGAGATGCCAGCCTAGTAGCATGCTTAAATTCATACAGTAAGGGTACCAGCGAAAGTAGCTTGTTAGAGCAGTTGCCATGAAAATATTTTCAGAAAGGATAGTGGGAAGCCACAGCACATCTGTGAGAAAATGATTGTAGATGAGATGCCAGATCAGGACCTATCACATTGCATATCTGTCTCTGGATTTCGTCGAGGACCTCGAGATGAACAGCGGGGGCACCAGACTATATATGGCAGCAGTATTCAATGCATGGTTGATTTGTAGATTTGAAGGATGGACTCTGGCAAGAAAAACCTTCTGGCATGACACAGAGAACTAAATTTCCTTGCAGTAGATGAAGCTATTGATTCAATGTAGTTGTTCAAGTTCGAGTGAGACCAAGCAGGTGCAGAGTGACGCTCTCGTGGGGTTATCTATAAATTTGGAGAGGAAAGGGTTTTAACAGTGAGACTGTAACCCAATAGTCTTACCTTTTTTTTTTTTTTTCCTTTTCTCATTCTATATTTTCTTTTCACAGCCAAAGAGAACTTTCCCTCCAACTCAATGTATATGAGTTCTGGCCTGCCTGTTGCCTCTGACCAGCTTGGTCCCGGGAAACGCATGGTTGCTCTCTATGACTATGATCCCCAGGAGCTTTCACCTAATGTTGACGCTGAAGTAAGTACAATGATAAATAGTAAAAAAGGAATTTATAAAATAAATTTTTCGTTTTTTAACTCAAAAATGTTTTGTTAAATTTATGTTCAAGTCTAGATCAATTAATCTTTATATGAAAAATAGATTTGAAAAAACTTATTTCTGGTTGCAGTGCCTATTGTCAGGGCCAGTGCGTACTACTCCAAGACCCCCAACCATGCTTGATTGGAGGCCTCTTATCAACATTTGTTTTTTGTTTTTTTCTACCTACATTTATGTGTTACAAATTGGATTCAGCACAATTATTAAAGATTTTGGTGGGATTTTGACTTCATTTTGGGATCTTTTTTTTTTTTTTTCATCCAAATCCATGAATTTGTTTTGCTCATGCTAAGTCTCAAAAACACAGTATGAAATTCAATATATTTTTTTTATCTATAATGTTGAATGTGTCAAAATTATTCAATTCTTTAACAAGAAAAATCTGAAGTTGATGTTAAAAATTGCTGCAAAACATTGTTTATTTAAAATAGGATGATTAGGACATGTCTCTAATTTGTTTTTAGGTACATTGTATTTATTTTCATTTTTTTTTAGTTGAATTGTTCACCTGTGTTGCATATGATGCATTATTGTACATAATTAGGTTATAATAAAATTTGTATTTGATATGAATACTACCTTATGAAAATTGAGATTTCGTAGATGGGGGCAAAAAACTCTTGCACTGGATCAGCCTATTGTATTCATTCCTCTTTCATCCGAGCTTGATCAAAATATCTGTGCAATTAAAATTCCCATCATCCCTCATTTGAGCACATATGTAGTTGCACTAACATAACAAATTTAGTCCGATGAAGTCATAAAGGGCAAAACATGTCACACAAAAACTTTTCCACTTTGTCATACATTTCCCCCCCCAATATTGTTCTTGATATATAAAATTAATAATGTTTCATTATCATATATATATATATATATATATATATATATATATATATATATATATAAAAAGTTTGGTAATCTCTATGGATAATCCCAAGGAGGATGTAATCCAAAGATCTCGATGTCAAACCAGAGTGAATATTAATTTAAATAAAATTAGTAAACAGACCTTTAATGGACCCTGTTGTCTGTTTTCTAATTTTAATTAGATTAAAATTCATATATATATATATATATATATATATATATATATATATATATATATATATATATATATATATATATATATATATATATAAATTTCCAAGAGGATATAATCCAGGTAGAACTCAATGTCCAGGACAGAGTAAGAATATAATAAAAAAGCTCAAACACTAATATTCCATGGCTATAATTTATTACACTGGAATTGTAATCACGATCCAATTCATTAGACCTACAAATTCAAAAAGGAACCTTCCTGTTGATGTTTCTTTTGTTATCCCTCTCTAGAGCTTTTATACATTTCCTTCTCACACTTGTTTCCCACACATACACTCTCACTAAAATATTATTTTTTATACCCGGAGTTATATCTTCTGATTTCTTTTTGAATTTTAGGTCTGATGAATTCAAATCATGATTACGATTCCAATGTAATAACTTATAAACATGTAATATTAGTGTTTGAGCCTTTTTTATTATATTATATAGATATATTTATATATATATTAGGGTTACGACTTTTTGCTAAAATAATTGATTTCCTGTATATTAATTCATTGAACCTTTGTTAAAAAAATAATGAGGAAGCGTTTAATTCAGTTTATTTTTTTTTTTTTTAAATGCCATCCCAACACAAAATTTCTAAAATCATATATAAGTTTAGTGGTACTATGACTTGCCCTCATCTTTGTTGTTATTATCATCTGATTGCCTTCCCGTACTGGGTAAGATGATAAACTACATCCACGTCTTGGGTAAGATGATAAACTACATCCACGTCTTGGGTAAGATGATAAACTACATCCACGTCTTGGGTAAGATGATAAACTACATCCACGTCTTGGGTAAGATGATAAACTACATCCACGTCTTGGGTAAGATGATAAACTACATCCACGTCTTGGGTAAGATGATAAACTACATCCACGTCTTGGGTAAGATGATAAACTACATCCACGTCTTGGGTAAGATGATAAACTACATCCAACATCCTCTGATCAGGAGGGTTTGAGGAGCATGGAACCACCTCTTAATTGCTGATGTTCCCAGGTTCACCCTGACTCAGGGTGGTGGCACCTGTTAGGGTCCCAGCTATGGGCAAATAGTCAACACCCAAAGTTGAGTCAAAACACTATGAAAGTGTAAAAATAGGGTTTAATACCAGAAATACTTTTTAAAAAAAAAAAAAAAAAAAAAAATTACCATCAATGCATTTTTGAAAAACAAATATTACCAGCAATACATTTTTTGAAAAAAAAATATTACCAGCAAAAGAAAATTCTTACCAGAAATATTTTTTTGAAGGAAAAAATATTAACAAAATTAGATTTTTTGAAAAAAATATTACCAAGAATGAAAAATTTGTCAGCATTAAATAACCCATTGAGGTTGATATGACGTAAAACAAAAAAAAAGAAATCAAATCAAATCCTGATTGCCTTCTGTCAGAATTCCTGAGATGAGGAGTGATCATTACTTATATTCAGCTTAATGTCCTCATCTTTGTTGTAAAATGATTTACTGTATCATAATTCAATGAACCTTTGTTAAAAAATAATGAGGAAGAGTTTCATTCCGTTTATTTTTTTTTAAAATGTCATCCCAACACAATATTTCTAAAATTGTATATTAGTGATCCTATGACTTTCTGAAACATTCTAGAACTTGTTTTTATTTATTTGTAAGTTTGTATGTTATGCTAGAGCTGTTAAATGCATTAAAAACTTGCCTAAATACAATCTAATTACATCATTAACAAATTGAAAAAATGAAACTTCTGAAATATTTTCATTTTTTACCCTTATTACTTATTTAGTAGAATCAAATTTTTCGTTTGAGAGTGACATTTTTTTAACAAAAACCAATTAATCACATTTTTCATTACTTTTGAACAAAAGCTCATCAATTTATGACACATGAACATAGCTTTACAAAAATGTCATTACCCTTATTTTATATATATATATATATATATATATATATATATATGGCACAATGGAGTAATGGATAGCAGCCTGGATTGAAGAATCAGAGAGCCAAGTTCAAATTCCAGTCGAATCCATTACATTCACTTATGTGCTAATGGGAAAGGTGTGAATCCTCTTCTTCTCCCTCCAGCTATGGGTAAATAGCAGGACAGACTGGGTTCTATAGCCTTGATGGCAACTGGTTTAGGAGAAGGACAACTCTGAATTCAAAACCTGCAGAGGGTCATTTGGGGACCCTGTTGCATGTAGTCGGGCTGTCAGTTTCCTAGGAACTGATCTGCTTGACTCTCATATGCCGTATTTGATGGGAGAGTCGAGTATATGTATATATATATATATATATATGCATATATTATCATTTAACTCCAATCATGGCAATAAAGCCACCAATACGTAAGGGGTTGCTGAGTGTTAGAGAAAATGAGAAAAAAAAGAAACACCATTGAGGAGAGAAATCAATAAAGGGGAGCAAGAAATGGAAAGAGAGTTCCACGAGTCAAAAGACCTAGCAAGTGATTCAATAAGATCACTCCACTTCATGTTAGTGGAAATCATGAGCCGAAGAAGGTGCAAAAGTTTTCTCTCCTGGAGGTTAGCATCAGTCATGCTAAGTTCTCTGTGGTGATTAAATGAAATTTTTGTTTTGGAGACATTAAAATGTGGCACCTTGCATTATTAGAAATATTCATAGAAATATGATTTAATTTTTTTTTACTCGGTTTACTAAACAGGTTGTTGATTTTTTTTAAAACGGAAAATAATTGAGTTGAAAATAATTCACTAAGATTGTACTTAGACGATCCTAAGGAAAGAAGAAGGAAGGGAAAGAGAGGAAAAAGAGAAAAGCAAAAGAGAGAGGTCGAGAAATACAAAAAGCGGTCATTAACAAAAACATGAGTCAGAAAAGATATCTTAGCTAGCATGTTGACCGAATTTTTAAAGACAATTGGAAGAATAGAATTAGAAATAATAAAAAAGAAAGAAAGGGAAAAGACATGATATCAAAACGGGCTGCTTGATGAAAACCAGATATCGGTCAAAGCATCTAGCCTACTTTTTGTGAAAAGACATCTTATCAATTTGGATAAAGAGAAATTTTTGGGAACAATGAAAACGAAATCTTAATCAGAGAAAAAGTGTCTTTTTGGGTTGAGGGAGTGACCGTGGAACGGTATACAGATTCTGACCTGTTAAAAATTAGAACCCCCACATTGACGAGTGAAAGATGTTTTCAATTCAGATAAATTAAGATTTTCTGACTGCGGGTCTGACAAAAAACAAGAGGTGAAAAAAAAATGATTGTCTCAGATCACAGATGGCGACAATATTCTTTCCTGAAGTCACAACTAATTAGCGGCGGGCTGTTTGACAGAGCCCAGGTGAGAGAAAGCCAAGATTATCATTTTAAATGCGATGCGAAAAAGGCCAACTTAGATTTTGTTTTTTTTAAAAACAAGAACGATGTAACCACGCCCGAAAGGAGGAGAAAGGATGCTCGATCAATAACAATTGGTCGGAAACGGTCACGTGATCTGCAGAAAAGAAGAGAAAGAAATCGATCAGGAACCATTGGTCGAAAGCGGTCACCTGACATACGTGCCTCCCCACCAAAGGCACTATGAGGAAGTGGGGGGTGAAAATAATAGTGATAATGAGAAGACAGAAATAATGCGACTTTTTGAAATTATCGAGAAAAACCCTGACGCCGACAGACCCACCCCAGTTTGTTGCGGCGTCAATAAAAGCAGGACCCCAGTCGACAGAAATCAGTTGAGTTGAGAGTTGCAGCTGGACCGCGGGCAGGGATAGAGCCTGAACGGGCATCAGGCCCGATTCACTCGCCCCTTTGCGGGCAAGAGAATCCTCAGACAAGAAATCCTCCAGCCCAAATCGAAGAAGAAGAAGATTGAAGCAAGCCTCAGAGAAGGCAGCCAAGTCGAAGAAGAAGAAGATTGCTTGAAAGCCGCAGAGAAGTTACAGCCAAGTCGAAGATAAGAAGAGCTGCAGGCCAGACAGGCCGAAGAATTGCAGGCAGACAAGAAGAAGAATTGCAGGCCAGACAGGCAGCAAGAGTTGTGGCAGAGTTACGGGGCAGAGTTCAGCCCGGACGGCAGCGAGAAGAGATCACCTCGGACGACAGAGAGTTGCGGCTGAGTTGCGGCAAGAGATCCTTCCAGCCCAAGTCGAAGACAAGAGAACTTCCAGCCTAAGTCGACGAAGAAGAAGAAATACAACTCAAGTCGAAGAGAAGAATCAACTGCGAATGATCAATAGAAATTAGCCCCAGTGTCGAACCAAACCACACTCCGACATACACAATTCTAAAGAGTAGGCAATTCAAAATCTTTAGGTTGTGTGATAGAAGCTTGGTGCCATAGTCCACAGAGCGGGTCGGGAAATGAGAACAATTTTGTTTTTATGTAACGGACATTAAGATATAAAAGGTTGTTACCCTTTTTTTTTTTCATCAGCAATCTTTTGTCTCGTGAGTTTATTTTCTCTTTTATTTGTGTTTTGCCACCCCGGCCGGACTCAACTTGTATCGCCCCCAATCCCTGCTGGTCCCGTCTGTCTAAGATCTAAACACAGCGTGGGTAGACAGACGGGAGATCGGTACAGTTGCTTTAGTGACCAGGTATTGGAAGCGAGTCGGGAAAGGCGAGGCTGGTGATCATCCAACCAAGGGGTTGGACGCTTGGAACCAGGCACGACCTTGGAACCAGGAGGAGCGACGTCACAGTTGGCGCCGTAACCAAGGGATTCGACCCTGGGCCAGGTGTGTAACCGTCACAAAAATTTACAAGCCATTCCTTGCCCCAGTTAACCACTTGGCAGTTTTACTTTGTTGAAACCTGTCAGATGTGCTACTAAGATGGGAGTAAATAGTTGTGCTGTCAGTATAAATTCCTAGTTGAAAACTGATGACATCAGGGAAAGTTATTATATACAGTAATATCGGTATCAAGAAAAAAAAAAACTTCCTTTTCAAACACCTTTTCTTTTTTTTCAGGTATGAATGTGAATCTTTGCCCTGATTTGTTCGTTTATAAATTTATATATGCTTCTTAAGATAATGCTGTTATCTATAATAAATCTAGTTTCATATGTTTGAGTTTTATTAAAATTCTAAAATAGCTTTTGAAAACAATAAAATTGTCAAGCAATATAGGTGTCAAGAGAAAAAAAATGTCTTTTTGACACATCATTTTTTGTGGGGTGGGGGACTTTTAAACTTTGTCACCATCTACATCTGTAGGTCTTATTTTTTTTTTACATAACTATATAAATTATTCTGACTTTCTTTTTTTTTTTTTTTTGTTTTGTTTTTTTTGTATAAATAAAAAAAAAATCCACATATTCCTCATGTGCAATTTTTATTTTCTTCTTTCCGCAAATTTCATATTCAATGAAGTTTCCTGTCTTTTAACATAATATTTGACTAATTTTTTCCTCTCCTCTGTTTCCAGGTAGAGCTCGCATTCAAAATGGGTGACCTGATCATTATCTATGGTGACATGGACGATGATGGATTTTTCATTGGTGAGGTCAAAGGCAAAAAAGGGCTGGTACCTTCTAATTTCATTCGTGAAGCTCAAACGCCCGACGAGGAAATTGAAAGGGCCAGCGTGACGCAAAGCCAGTCGAGGGACTCTATCCCGTCACCCAATATTGATGAAGAAGTCAGTCGGGTAAGTAACTTGTTTTGCATATGCTTGAAAACATGTCTGTCTGAATTTCTGGGATGACGAGTTATCATTATTTACATTCAGACTAATGTCTTCATTTTTGTTGTTGTTATCATCTGATTGCCTTCTGTCTGAAT